ACAAAACCTTTCGTCTTATATATAGATGAAAATAAAGGAATGGTAAAAGGGGTCGTTACTCAGACTTTGGGACCCTGGAAAAGGTAACCAAATTAGCTCTAGAGACTGGCACTAAAGACTGGGTGCAGCTCCTACCTCTAGCTCTATTTCAGGCTAGAAATACTCCTGCTATACATGGCTTAACCCCCTATGAAATCCTTTTTGGAGGACCACCTCCTGTCCTCGATGTAACCTTGTCCCCCCTGCCCTCTTCTCTTGATAACCCCAGCTTAAAAACAAGACTCCAAGCCCTCCAGATCATCCAGAACCAGGTTTGGAAGCCCTTGGCTGCAGTCTACCGACGCCTCATTCCTATCAAATTGGAGATCGGGTGTACGTGAAAAGACACAACGTAAAGCCATGCTTCCCACGTTAAAAGAGCTCTGATCCAGGAGGACACTGGAAAATGACATCTGCACAGGACATCCAACCCTCTAAAAATAAGACTCTCCAGAGATACTTAATAATTCTATTTGTTTATAGGCTTGTCCCCAGTTATGTAAATCCCCATCTCCCTGTGCTGACTGCCTGGCGGATAATTAATCAAATAGATGTTATGATATTTAAAATCCACAAGATGGCGCCCAAGGACACTTGGTGGCCCATCTTGTATCCAGATTTATGTAAATTGGCTATAAAAACACCAAAGCCCTGGGATGCAGGAAAATGGCTTAACCCCATAAATGCCAAATGTGGGGGAAGAGACTACTTTTCACAAAAACCCGAATACTCCTACTCAGGACTGTAAAGGTAAATGGTGCCATCCTCTTTGGGTGACATTCACAGAAGCAGGCAAGAAGGCCACAGGATGGGACAAGGGATATTCTTGGGGAATTAGACTATATGAGGAACAGGCTGATAATGGCCTTCTTTTTACTATTAAAAGAGAACTTGTGTCTCTCACTTTAGCAATACTTCTGGGAGCAGGGGTGGCGGCACGGGTGGGAACTGAAACCGCAGCCTTAATACAAGGACCACAGTATTATGCAGATTTACAAAAAGCTGTAAATAAAGATATTAGGGCAATAAAACAGTCAATTACCCTCCTGGAAAAATCCCTAACCTCTCTCTCAGAAGTAGTATTGGGCAGAGGCAGGCGGATCTTTTTGAGTTCAAGGTCAGCCTGGTCTACATAGTGAGTTCAGGTCAGCTGGGACTACAGGGAAACACTGTCTCAAAAAGACAAAAAAATAAATAACTAAAGTTTCCTTGCTACTTTGCAATCTCCAGGCTTATGCAGCAAGTGCTTTTACTCCCTGCGCCATTTCTCTGGCCCTCCAGGTTGGTCTTGAACTTGAGACAATCCTCTTGCCTCAGCCTCCTGAGTGCTGTGATTACAGGAATAAGCTACCATCCTGGACCATTTTTCTCATATTACTTGTTTTTGATGATTTACAAGCTAAAGAGAACAGCAAGGTTTTTTCTTGGAATGTCTGGAAGTCCTAAGTAATTTTTAAGTCATATTGATGGAATCTCAAATCAAAGCCCCCCAGATTAAAGCAAACTGAAACTAAGTTTCCCAGGCTACATTCTGGGAAACTGTACAAGGAAGTAAAAGGAAAATAATTCTAACTGTAGAAAAGAATAGATAAAAAATAGATGACCTGACCTTTTCATGCTTCTTTGCCCAAGCTGGAAACATACCTGAAAAATCCCCCTCCCATTTCTGCTGTAACTATGTAACCAAGCACTTCTACTGTAACCTGGATACCAGCTCCTCCCACTGCTTGTGGTTTCTGTCTATATAACCAAGTTTCTAAACTAAATCTGGGCTTCCCCTTTTGATTAAGGTGGAAGCCCGCCTATAGACGTATCAATAAACCCTCATGCTATTGCATCTACTGGTTTGAGGACTGAGTTATTGGGGTGTGACCTCCCGTGAACGTAGGGTACCCCAGTCTGGGGGTCCTACACAACCACCCCAAGGCAGAAACTGATGATCTCTTGGAGTTAGTTACTGATAGCTGACTGCAAGGAGACTTCATGAACTTTTCTCTTGATGAAATTGAACTTTTTGCTCTTATCTTGATAATCATAACCCTCCTAGCTTGGCGCTGCCTGTTTATCGCCCTTCTTTGTACTTATCACACCGAGCTACATCAGGTTGAAAGGGACAATTAACAAGGCAGTTAAAAACAGGGAAGTTTTTTTAAGCCATTTGGTGATCTAGATGTAATCCATCACTATTACCAGAGACTTGGGAATAGCAACAACCCCCTCTACTGAGCTGAACCTAATTTAACTTGGAAGAAGGGAGAAAAGATTAAGCTCCAGAAGCCTCCACTTGGGACCTAAGGGAGGCTGACCTGGAGGGGGCCTTCTTCACAGGGTATAAAGGTGATCCCCATGTCCTTTGTCCAGAAGAGACCTAGTCAGTGTTCTAGTTAGCTTTCTGTTGCTATAATAATATGCAGCCCAAAACCACCTTAGGGAGGAAAGGGTTTTATTTAGCTTGCACTTTCCCGTTACAGTCCACCAGGGGCAGGAACCAGGGGCAGGGGCAGAAACCAGGGGCAGGAACTGAGAGACCAGGAAGGAGTGCTGCTTCCTGGCAGGCTTCCCCTGGCTTGCTCAGTTACCCTCCTCACACAGCCCAGGCCACCCACCTAGGATGGTACTGCCCACCTTGAGCTGGGCTTTCTTATATCAATTAGCAATTAAGAAAACACCCCGCAGTCATAGCCAGAGGCTAATCTGGAATTCTATTGCTGCCCCTCTGCCCAGGTGACTCTAATTTGAGTTGAGAAAATTAACACAACAGACTCCTTGTCAACCTGAGAGACAAACACACCATCATTAAACCTTTTTTTCCTCGTCTGTTTGTTTTTGAGATTTTTTGTTGTTGTTGTTGTTGTTTTGAGACAGGAGCTCACTATGCAGCCTGCCTGGCCTAGAACTCACTATGTATACCAGGCTGGAGCTGAACTCAGATAATCCTCCTGCCTCGACTGCTCAGGTACTGAGATTAAAGGCGTGTGCCACCACACCTGTCTTATTTTCTACATTTTAACTCTTTAATCCATGGAGGAATCTAGTGGGATCCAAGACCACCTGCCCCCAAACTGGAACAGAATCAGATCTGCATTTTTGTCCTTTGTAGTCAGTGAAGGGTTTTAAATAAGAACAGCTCATTCTTTTTCTCTAAAAGCGTATACCAGGGCAGCCCCAGTGCTGGCTAGGTGGACACTCAAGGCAGATTCAGCCTAAATCATTTTTGGCTCAACTACTTTCAAGCAATGGGGTTTGGACAAGATGACCTCCCATACTCAAATTATTTATTTAGTAATTTATTTATTATTTTGTAAAATAGGAAACATAGTAACATGCATCATCTGTGGTTTTTTACAGTTACATAAATATACTCAAAACACATTAGCTTCTGAAGTTACACCTCAAAGGGTTGGTTGCTAAGGAACCCTGTCCATAAATGAGACCTTGGTAAGGTTCCTGCAGAGCACTGGATAGGTTTACAGCTGAATTAGGTAAAAACCTAAGTCAACAGGTTGCAGGGCAAGTTAAGATGCTTTTGCAATACCCAGAGGGAACGCCACAGAGTGATGGTTAAATTGGGAGTTCTTCATTAGCTAGCTAGTTAGCAAGCCTATAGAGCAGTCCTAAAAGTGTTTCTCTTTCCTCCAAGAAAATGTGGAGAGGATACCTGGAGCTCAGTTTTAGAAAAGAAGAGGAAAGTTAGAAAGGACCCTGCAGAAAGGTAAACAGGTGGGTTGGCTAAGAAGTCAAGGAGGAGAGGGAGGGAGGGAAGATAGGAGGAGAGCTTTTCCAATTTATATTTTTCTTTTAATCTTTACACTAAAATTTTCTGACGGCTAGCAAGGAAACTTAGGTAGCCTTTTTGCATTGTTTCATTAATAAAGTATATTCCCCCCCCCAAGCTGTTAAGAGCGAACTTGAACTTCCTTCAGAGTCCATTATTTTAAAGTTATATATATATATATATACACATATGAAGGCTAAAGCCTCCAGGAGGGTAGGCGGAGGAAAATCTCATGGCTTTTAAGTTATCAATGGAAACAACCAAGACCGGGAATGTCAGGGAAAAGGTGGTTAGGGTCCAAGCAGCCCACCTGAGTTCAGAGGTTACACAACCCCAGACCCCTGGGGCTCAGGAAAAAGGATTACACCAGTGACACGTGGTTGGAAAAATAAACAGAGACAGCATATTAAGAAAGGACAAACACTCTCCAAGATGGGAATGGGCTAGAGGGCTGAACAGCCCCAAGACTTCTGGCCACGTGACTCGCAGCTTTCCCATTTGAATTTCGCGGGCTTTTTAAAAATTCCGCGCATGCTCTGTTCCTTAAATGAAGCTTGGCTAAGAAAGGGCTCTGCAAACTGGTTCGTTTTCCTCTGTTGATGTTTCAGGTCACTCTATTCTCCTGCCACAAGGTCTTCCTTTTGGCTAAGTTGGTATAATTGGCCCTTGCCCACCTGTCTGTCTGTCTGTCTGGCCAGGGAGTTCGTCCCCGGCTTAGCCACCGCCACTCAAGGTCGTGCTGACTAGGAAACGCCACCTTCGGAATCCGGGGACAGAAGGCTCCTAATTCTCTGCCGTCCGTGCTTTCCCTCCCACAGAGTTGGAACCGAGACCAAATGTAAAGATGAAATCTTTACGGGAGGTTTTAAACGGTTTCGGAATGCTAACAATCGGAGACTTTACATTTCTGACGTTTCAACATAGAAATTAACAAGTGAACTGATAGGAATTGTTTACCGCCAGAGGCGCTGGTTTGGGTTTTTCTTTGTTTGGTGTAAAGTAGCTTTTAGTAGCCTTTTTGCTCGAAAACTCATACCTTAAAAAAAAAAAAAAACCTCAAGATTTGTCCAATGAGAGAGCAGACCTTGAATCATGCCTTCTATACGACAGAGCAAAAATGAACCAATTAGTGAAAGTGAAAGCAAGGCCTCATTTGCATAAGGCTGTCTACAAATTCGAGAGCACCAGCGACTGAGACTTCACTTTCTTTTTCCCACGGAAAGAAGGATCCGAAGATGCCCGAGCCCGCGAAGTCAGCGCCCGCCCCGAAGAAGGGCTCCAAGAAGGCGGTGACCAAGGCTCAGAAGAAGGACGGCAAGAAGCGCAAGCGCAGCCGCAAGGAGAGCTACTCGGTGTACGTGTACAAGGTGCTGAAGCAGGTGCACCCCGACACGGGCATCTCGTCCAAGGCCATGGGCATCATGAACTCGTTCGTCAACGACATCTTCGAGCGCATCGCGGGCGAGGCGTCGCGCTTGGCGCACTACAACAAGCGCTCGACCATCACGTCCCGGGAGATCCAGACGGCCGTGCGCCTGCTGCTGCCTGGGGAGCTGGCCAAGCACGCCGTGTCCGAGGGCACCAAGGCCGTCACCAAGTACACCAGCTCCAAGTGAGCGCGCGCAGCGCCCTGACCCCAAAGGCTCTTTTCAGAGCCACCCAACGTTTCACGTTTGAGAGTTGTGTGCTTGTCCGTACCGCTGTTTTCTGTGGGTCTGAGAAACAACGCATCGGCAAGGGCCCACAGCCGGGGTAAGCTCTTAAATACAGACATTTTCGTTAAGATCTGCATTTCTTGTAAGTTTAAGTAGACATTCCCTTTATGCTATTAACAATGAACCCCAGGAATTTTAGGTAATTTTCGTGCAACCAGAACTGTAATTTTCCTCTAGGATGAGCCATCCGGTGTGGACCTCTGATCTCAACAACTGAGCTTGCGCACTCTAGTCTGAGTTTGCGGTTTGTGGGAAAGCTAAGGCTGGTGAATTTGCATACCTCCAGTTTTTGTGAAGTCTTGCGACACTGCCCCTAAAATCGCAGAGAAACCCGGCGTGGTAGCGCGCTCCTTTACACCTGGCTAAGATCCAGGCCAACCTGGTCTCCATAGCGTATTCCAGGCCAAGTGGGACTGTGGAAAACCCTGTCTCAAAAAGTCAAGAAAGTTAGGCTGCAGGGTTAGTGGATCTCGGAGCCTGCTGACCCGCTCTCGGTGACGCTCACGTGGCCATCTTCAGCAGCGCCACTGGAGGCGACATCTTCGCTGCGCTGGCACTTAACAAGTTTCTAGCTGTGAAGCGCCTCTAATTTCCTCCCCTCCACCCACCACCTCTTGGCTTGGAGCTTTTGGATTCTTTGTGAAGCTTGTAAATCTTAAAACAAGAAGCGCTGACTCCAATAGGAAAACATTACGCGTGTTAACTTAATGACAGGAAGTGGCGAAAGGTGTTTGTAAACGTAAAGGCAAAAAAATAAGGCCGTGAAACATTTTGTTCTGTCCCTTCCCTAAATTGCTTTTAAATGACCTCACTGGGTATTTTTGTAAGCTCTAAAATCAAGTTACCAATCCCCTCTCTTGTTTCAAAAATAAACTGGAAAAAAAAAAAAAGCATTCCCCAGTATTCAGCCACGTGACTTTCCCCGCTGTTGAAGGCTTTGGAATGCTAGGAGTGGCTCTGTGGCCTCCAGTTTTTCAGTTTGCAGCTCCCGGTTGAAATCCGGAAGGACTGGTGTTTGCAGCTTTTGTGCTGATTCCAGCAAAAGTGGGAGCAACGCGGACAAGCGAGAGAGGAGAAGGATCTTGACCCAGTCTTATGAGAATAAACGTGATGGAAGATGTGTAGGGACAGTGTTATGCGTGGGCTGAAGCCCACAAGCAGTTTCAGCTAGCTGCAGTCACTGCCCAGGGTGCAGCTTGTTAGCGTCCTCCAGCTAGAAGGTTGGGAAGTCTGTTTATGATCACGAAATCACAAGAGGAAACTTGGGAAATAAAAGGCTGGGCCTCTTTCCCCTTCTTCAGGTGTAGGAGTTTTCTGGGAGAAGGTCAGTGACAAAGGTTTGGTTGCAGTTAATACCAAAACTACTCTAGAATTGCTGAAAACCCTCCTTACTAAGCCTGTGTGTCTCAACAGCTTTGTCTGTTTGAGCCCCTCACTGGTAGCCCAGGGATCCTTGAAACTGTTGCTCTTTCAGACTTCTACCTGCCAGCTGGGAATACATTTTATCTCACCTCCCTAAGGCTCTGCTCCCCTTTAAGGCACAGTAAATGCAAAGATAGAGACTATCCATTTTGAAGTAACAAAGTTACAAATGCAGGCCAGGGAGGTGGCGGGGTGGGAAAGGCACTTACTTACCAGCTAGCCTGATGACCTGCGTTGGCTCCCCACTGGAAGAGGAGAAACCTTCTCCTGCAAATTGTCCTCTGGCCTCCACATTTATCATCACACACAAGATAAATACTTATTTCTAAAAATTGCGAATACTTTTAGACACAATATTGAAACTTCCTGGTTACTGATGAATTGCTTCCATTTCAGAGTCACAATGTTCATTTTAATGTTTTGTTTTGGTTTAGAGTTTGGTTTGGTTTGGTTTTTCTATGACAAGGTCTTACTGTGTAATTTAGGCTAGCTTGAAACTCACTGTGTAGAGCTGGATTATAGGTGTCACCCACCCTATAGTGTTTTTAAAAGCACAGGATTAAGTTGATTACCTCTGAGCCCTACGCAGCTTTTCTCTAATGCCCCACTGTTCTTTTGTGCAGAGGATTGGTGGGTTAGGTTGGTTGGTTGGTTGGTTTTTTAGACAGGGCCTCATATGAAGCCCCAGGTGGCCTGGAACTCACTATGTAGATCAGGCTGGCCTTGTATTCACTGAGATCCGCCTGCCTCTGTCTCACAAAAGCTGGCATTAAAGGCACCATCATCTCCACCCCACACCTTATACCACCCCATTCCTGTTGGGTGTTTTTTGATTTTGGTTTTTTTGAACCAGTTGCTTAAAATGAATAAAAAATAATTTTTTAAATAAAACAAGATGCAGAAGAGTGTTTCTCAAATTTGAAGGGACATTAGATTCACCTGAGGGAAGGGGACTTGTTAAAGAACACACTGATGTTTCCAGTCCCCAAGTTGAATTGGTCTTTTTAAAAAGTTCCCAAGGGCTGCCTTGTGATGTCTGCCTTGTGAACTTGATGGCCTGAATGATCCCGGAACCTCACATAAAAGATGATGAACAGATAACACAATAATAAAATAAATACAGATCATACATTCCAGGGACACGTGCTGGAATGGCAGTGCTGTGGGAGCATCTGATGTGCAGATGAGGTTAGTAAAGCCCATCCCCGTTGGAATTCAGGATGAGAAGGCAACTTGATAAAGAACTGAGACAGAATCCGACCTCAACAAATGCAGATAGCTTTATTAGCTATGAGGGGCACGCAACCTTCCCATGGGAATGGAGGTTGGGCATCTGGGTTGAGGGAGATCTGGGATTTATAAATGGACCCAGTAAGGTGCCTTGCCTTCCTGGATGGTGTCCTGCTCCTTCCTAGGATCTGGGAAGAAGAAATGAGGACTTGTGGTCTGGAATTTGAAAATTCTACAGGAAGGCTGCTAATGAACCAGATGTTTTTGGCTAGCGGCCATGTGTTCTGAGATCTCCCTCCTAGAGGGGAGGCAGGATAAGGGAATGGCTAGTTCTTTCAGTCACTTGTCAGGCTGATTTTCCTTCACTCCATGCCCAAGTGAGAAGGGAAGATGTAAGATTCATATGTCAAACTATGATGTTTAAGTTTATTGTACACATTCAGAATTTACAGACAGCTCCTGATCAGGGAACTGACGGGACCTGTTTGCTTCAGGCTTAGGATACTGGGTGCATCAGTGGATTTGGCCTGATTCTGTTTTGAGTTAGGACCTCATCTATACTATACTGGCCTTGAAGTAGCTGACAATGACCTTAAACTTTGATCCTCTTGTATTTGCCTCCTGAGTGCTGGCATTACAGGCAGGAGCCACCACACTCACCTTCATGCAGGGCATGGAACCCAGAGCCTGTGGCTAGGCAAGAACTCTACCAACTAAGACGCTTCTTCCAACCCATACCAATTCTACCCTCTTTACCCCCCCAACCATTCCAGGGGATTTGACGCACACTGTTCTGGCCATGGGTAGGTAGTACACTCATGTGCATGTGTCTGTGCACTTACACACACACACACACACACACACACACACACACACACACACACACCAGTATGGAACTGTTTTTGTTGGGTGAGGATGAAAGTTCAGGCTGAAGAAATGGTGTCAGCAGTGGTGTCCGAAAGAGGAATCAGAGAGCAACTGAGGCTTTTCCATTCAGGAGTTTATAAACTGTTGGTTTCATTTCCATGAACTGAGATACAGTACTGAGCCAGACAGACCAGTCAACTATCCTGTGTCTTATATTTTTCCTGGAGAAGACAGAATAGACATGTTCACAACTTGGCAAGAAAATTTTAAACAGAGAAAACTTCTGTGTGCTGTCCCAAAGCACTCAAGTCCTATCTCAAAACTTAAAATTGATGGACTTCCTCCTTTAATTAAATTAAAAATAAGCCCCACAGGTTTGGTTTTTAATACCCAGATCTTGTGAGATATAATCAATTTGTGCCTCTAGGTTTCTGAAAATCAAATTCTCTTAAATGGGCTATCCCATATATTTTATTTTTAGTTCATGTGTATGAGTGTTTGGCCTGCAAGCAAGTGCACCTATGTGTGCAATTCCAGAGGCCAAAAGAATGTGTCAGATCCCCCTGAATTGGAGATACAGAAGGTTGTTACCCATTATGTGGGTGCTGGGAAACGAACCAGGGTTGTCTACAAGAGCACTCAGTGCTCTTAACCACTGAGTCATCTCTTCAGCTGCTAAAATGGAATATCCTGCATTCTCAATCAAAATATTAACCACTGTTTTAATGTCTCATTATAAAAATACGTTTTGCACTCAATGGTAAAAATTACAAAACTGACACCCAGTACTTTGAAACAGGTAAGACACAAACATACCTTCTCATAGCTTACATTATGCACTGAGCCTCACTGTGTTATTCCCATAACGCAACACAGTGACAAAGGGCTACCAAGGAAAGCTCAGTTGGTATCAATGTGTGTTAGGTGGACCGGGTATCCTGGTTCATGGCCTTAATCAGGAGGGCAGAGGCAGACAGACCTGTGAGATCCAGGCCAGCCTGGTCTACATACTGAGTTCCAAGCCAGTTAGGGCTACAAGGAGATCCCATCTCAAAAAAAACAAAAAAAACAAAAAAAAGTCCTAGAGTCTGGAGAGATGGCTCAGTGGTTGACTAATGTACAGGCTGCTTTGCAGGGGATAAGGGTTTGGTTCCTATCACCGACGATGGAGGCTAAGAACCACTCTAGTTCCAGGAGATCCACCCACTTCTGGCTTCTGAGGGCACTGCCTGACACAGGTAAACTTACATGCAGGCAAAACACTCCTATACATAAAATAAATCAAAATAAACTTTCAGGCCAAAGGAGGGGGCTTAAAGGACAGGTAACTCATCCTTTCCCGCTTGTTGGCTCAGTCACTTGGTGGCATAATGTCCTGGGAAATGTTTCCTGACTAGGCAGCTCCCAATCCTGCCCAGGCCTTAAAACAAAGCACCTGTCAAACACAACCCAAGATTCCTCACAGCAAACCAAGAAACCACTATGTCTGAGAGGCCTACCATCACACGTCATTCACAAACCCCATGCAAAATCTGCCCACACCTAAAAGATGCTTAGCCACTACTCTATATTAGAACTTCTAGACAAAGGGAAGCCGCTCAAAGCACTAGGGACTGTGCAAAGTCCCAACGACTGCAACTACTGATGTTCAATAGATTGCAATACTTTCCACAGAAATTCTACCTCCAATTTCAGCAAAGACGGCCCTTACCTTGCAAAACTCCCTGCTGTTTCTGCTTTTAGTCAAGAACCTATGCAAGTGTTAAGCCTTTAGAGGAAAAGGTGGCGGCCCTGAAAAGGGCCTTTGCGAGCGCATCAGCCGCCGAAGCCGTAGAGCGTGCGGCCCTGGCGCTTGAGCGCGTAGACCACGTCCATGGCCGTGACGGTCTTGCGCTTGGCGTGCTCCGTGTAGGTGACGGCGTCGCGGATCACGTTCTCCAGGAAGACCTTCAGCACCCCGCGGGTCTCCTCGTAGATGAGGCCAGAGATGCGCTTGACGCCGCCGCGCCGGGCCAAGCGCCGGATGGCGGGCTTGGTGATGCCCTGGATGTTGTCACGGAGGACTTTGCGGTGGCGCTTGGCGCCGCCCTTGCCCAGGCCCTTCCCGCCCTTGCCGCGACCAGACATGGCTGAAAAGCACGGTAGCTTGGGCAGGAGACCTTGCCCTTAAATAGCTCCTTTGCGGACCTGAATGAAAACCGCGAGGGGGTGGAACCCACAGTGAGCGCCCGCCCTTCGGCGCATTTGTCCTTTGAGAGGCTTGACGGGACAAGGGCGTGGCCTGAGCTACAGCAGAGCCGGGAATTAGAATTTAATATAAAGGAGAATGTGTCTCAATGGGGTGCCTTGTACACTGTCACCAGCAAGCTTGGCGTTTGTCTCTCTGGGTTCAGCAAATATGAAATAGTACCGTTTTCCTTCTAAGACGCTTTAAGTAAACATGCGTTAATTCATGTTCGGAGTGTTTTTACTGACTTCGGTATGGCTGCATGTTTCTTAGCATGCAGGCTGAAAGGGCTCTTTGCTCTCTCCAAAAGCTGTAGTGGCCTGACTCTAAGGGTCCCCCCGCAATCCCCTCAGAAGCCCAAAGGGGGCACTGCCTGCAGGGCACCCTTGAGGCCTCCCCAAGCGGCAAGGATTCACCATGAAACCCTACTTAGGCTGAGTGAGACTCTGGGAGAACAGGGTGGGAAAACAGCAGGACCCACAGGGAGACAGGGTACTTTCATAGGCACAAACCTATGCATGCATCCTGTGCTAACTTCAACTGATCCCCCCAACCCATCCAGAACAGCCCCTGGAGCCCACTCCACAATCAGGCACACAGGGCACCCATGCACTCAGATGCACCCAGTTTTCACACGCACACAGGTGTGCTCACTCGCATGTGTACACAAATAGGTTCAGAAGGTTACAGAATTAAAGGGCAGGAAGGATAAAAGACATTGAGACTGTTTTGAATCTTTAGAAATGTGAATGTCCCAAAGGTGGAAATATACCAGAATTCAGTTCATGACTTAGCATCCTTAATGAAGGGTAGAATGTAGCCAGCACGGTCTGTGTGATTATATTGTCCTGACATCTCTCTCTCACCCGTTCTCTGGCGAGTTACACTCAGTTTTCCTATTGTAAATATGTGATCAAAGTATAAAATATTTGTCAAAGATGTAATCTGCCCAGTGGACGTAGGTTAGTTAATACGTTAGTTGAAAATGAGCAAGCACTGGGCATTTGTTATGCCTTATGTGCTGGATAGCTTTGGTGTCAACTTGACACACCTGGGTTGAGGGAGCCTCAATCGGGGAATTGCCTCTGTTAGACTGGCCTGTGGCCATGTCTGAGGGGCATCTTCTTGATGAGTGATGTTGAAGGGCCCAGCCCACTGTGGGTGGTGCCACCCCTGGGCAGGTGGGCCTGTGTTGCATAAGAAATCAGGCTGAGCAGGAGCCAAGGGAGTAAGCCAGTAAGCAGCACTCCTCCATGGTCTGTGCTCCAGCTCCTGTCCAGCTTCCTGCCCTGAGTTCCTACCTTGGGCTCCCTGATGAACTACGACCTGGGAGATGTAAGACAAATAAACCCTTTCCTCCCCAAGTTGGTAGTGGTCAGAGTGTTTTGTCACAACAATGGAAAAACAAACTAGGTTGTAAGAGAATGGCTGTCCTCAGCTTCTCCCCTTCCATCCTCCTTTCAGGGAGGCAGAGGAAGGAAGATCACAAGGTCAAGGCCAGCTGGACTGCATAATGAGACTTCACACACAAAAGTAGAAGAAAAATTTTTTCATGGGGCTCAGGGTTTAAGAGCACTGGCTGCTCTTGCAGAGGTCCTGGGTCGGTTCTCAGCACCCACACAGTGGATAACAACCTTCAGTAACCCCAGTTCCAGGTGATCCAATACCCTCTTCTCCCCCCCCCACCCCCGCATTACACAACACGGGTACACTTGCATACATGCAGGTAAAACACTCATACTCATACAATAAAAATATTAAAAAAAAAAAAAAAAAAAAAACGGGGATGGGGGTGTACGCCTCTAATCCTAGCATTCAGAAGGCTGGTTTTTTTTTTTT